CAATTTGTACAGTGTCCCAACTTTTTTGGAATTGGGTTTGTATATCGTATCTCTATCGGCCACTTGAGCAACTTGTCTCCTCAGTCCCCAGACGTTTGCAGACTGTTATAAAAAGAAGAGGGGATGCCACACAGTGGTAAACATGGCCTTGTCCCAACTTTTTTGAGATGTGTTGATGCCATGAAATTTAAAATCAACTTATTTTTCCCTTAAAATTATACATTTTCTCAGTTTAAACATTTGATATGTCATCTATGTTGTATTCTGAATAAAATATTGAAATTTGAAACTTCCACATCATTGCATTCTGTTTTTATTCACAATTTGTACAGTGTCCCAACTTTTTTGGAATTGGGTTTGTATATCGTATCTGCATTGGCTATCGGCCAAAATGAGTTGAAAATTATCGGCATATCGGATATCGGCAAAAATCCATTATTGTGCATCCCAACTAAAAACTTTACATCTAAGCAGGGTACAAAATTAACTTTTCCATTAAGGAGCAAAATTTGCCCCCTAGAATTGATTTCCAGGGGTATTTTTTACATTCTTGAGGGCAATTTTTATAATCATCTTGTTATAATCACCATACTATGTTGTTTTTAATGTTAAATACTTGAGTTCATCCAATTACTTTAATCAATATTTTTAACTGTTGTCAATAACAGTAAACTGTTTAAAATTGTATTTAAATAACAGAAGCTCATAGTGCTGCAATATTATGACAAAAATAATTATTGTAGATTATTACTCTTTATATTGTAATAATGATTATTAATATTGATATATAAAGCAATATAAAATCTTTTTTGTTTCGTTTTGGGCACGTCACATTCTGGCTTCACAGACAAACATGTCGGTCCATGACATTACCCTACTCTTGAACAAGTTATGCAAAAACTCCTGTTATAATCACAAGCTACAAAATGTATATTTTATTTACATCGTATCTGCACTGTGTTGTTTATGATGAGGAACCTCGCGAGCGTGCACAATCCACACAGCTCTGGCGATTTCAGCGCTGACTAATCTAATCTAATCTATCCTTACCTTGAATTTTTGAGGGCAATGTTGTTTAGTTTTGTGGCAATTGTACCCCGAGCCCCCATTCATTTACGGATCTACTTGGGTTGTGTATAAGAAGGCTATTTAAGAAAGAAGGAACTTGATTTTTTTGCTGTGGTTTGAGTGTTTCTAAATTTCATCATTAACACTGGAAAAATATAATTGTGAACCAATATTAGTATAGCTACTTTATTTTGTTTTCATAACCAAATTTAGAGATTACACTGTTGTGAGGTTAATAATGGCTTGTTTCATGTGTGAAAATGTACAAATATGTGTCTATGCACAGTTATTAAATAAAAACCACTACAACACACACACACACAACAACAACAACAAAAACATATTTTTCAAATGTTCCCACTGCTGGAGGTGAGCAGGTCCAATAAATATAAAATATTACAGTGATTTCTGTGGTGTTGAGTGTAGCTGATGGTTAAATGCACTCACTTGAGTATCTTCAGCTCACACACAGGATTCTTCAGTCCCTCACAGATCTCTTTGACTCCTGAGTCCAGCAGACGGCTGTTGTTCAGGTTCACCTCTTTCAGGATGGTTTTGGAGGAGAGAACAGTAGCTAGAACTGAACAGCTTTTCTCTTTCAGCTTACAATTATTCAGTCTGAACACACACAAAAAAACAGCATTATTTATTATTCAGCACATATTTAACACACATCAGATCTTCATATCTGCTCACACATGTGACTGACAGTCCTTTATAATGAATAAACAGAGAAGTTATAATGTACTTAAAAATCATGTTAACTCACATAATTTTCTCCATTTTGCTATGAGAGTCCATCAAAAGAGCAGAGAGCTTCTCCCAATACAGGTTTCTTAATTTATTTTCACTCAGATCCAGTTTTTTCAATAATAATGGACTTTTACCCAGAACTTCAGTGAGATGATCACATGCTTCCTGGGCAGCAGGACTTTTCAAAAAACTAAAGGATATAGAAAATAATTTTAGATTAGATAATCATGTCACAATTCATGCAGCTACCATCTTGCTTATGGGTCCAGTATGTGAGAACACCAATATGGAATTTCAAGGCAGATTCTCTGCTCTTAGTGGCTAATATCAATACTTGATCATTTTACAAAATTGTGCCTCTACCTAGTAAAATTAACCAGAGTTACTATATTACAGGTGTTTTGCTGCTTTCATGAGAAACCAACGATATTAACTCTTACCCCTTTTTTTGTGTTGCCAGTCAACACCAGCATTTTTTATCCTTTTCACAAAATTTCACAGGAAAAACTGTAGGATAATCTAGCCGCAGATTGCAACATTGCCAAATTTCAAGAGTTTTTGAGCATGTTATGGGCCCCAAAATGTCCCGTATAGTTGAAAAAACTCTGTAGGAAAACAATAGGGCCCTTCACACCCTAGGGGCTTTGAGATCAAAAATACCTTTGCAATTTTGCATTCTCAATGTCTTGAGTTTGGTGGCGATCGCATGAAAACAAGTATATCAAATTTCAGAACATGTTTTTTTTTCAAAAAACCACAATAGCTGACATCCTGTTGGGCGGAGAACTGACTGCCATCATGAATGTTGTTCAGCCTGATGAGATCTATATCTGTATGAATTTTGGTGATGTTAGGTGAAATGGTGTGTGCTACAGAGCTTGTTGAAAATGGCCTTATTAAAAGGTGCCCCCCCGTTGCCACTCAACCATGGGCCCCCCTGGTGACCCCCCCATGTGACCTTCTGCCCGCCCCTAATGGCTATGGCAAGCTGTTTTGACTTTTATTCCTTCACAGGATATGAATTCTTGATATCAACAATTACATTTTTACTAGTTAAAATGCTAATTCTTGATATCAGTGTCATGTAACAGTGTCGAGTAAACACGCATGAAGAAGATGATGAAGTTAAATAGTCTTTAATTAATCCACAGAGATAAATCCACAAACAGGCAGGCTGCTGACACACGTATCATGCGTCACGTATCAGGTGCATCCACTCATCAGGTTTTACGCTGAGGAGCCGAGAACTTGTCCCTGGCAATCAGTGATGTTTCGATGTTGTGGCATGGAGACATAACGTCTCCATTCCCTCCATCAGGGAACAATGGTTACGTACGTAACCTGAACCCCGTCACAACCCTATGGCATAGCAAATGTTGACAAGCCGCAGCATGTCAGACAGGTGCGTCGCAAATGTCGTAACCTTCCCAACGCCCCAGCGCAAATTCACTGACCTTGGCGCCCGAAGGGGCCAAAGGGTGAGTACATTGCTGCTGGAGATAGCCATGCCGCTGTTCCTACCACAGAAAATCATTTCTTAAGAGAAGAGATTTCGACCTTTGTGAACGGTGCTTCACGCCTTTTCTGTTTGTTGTTACAGCATGGCAGTAACGATGGGGAAGCAAGTCTTCCGGAGAAGGGTGCTACGGAGGCCACATTCTACCCGTAGGAAGGGATCATGTGGAGATACTGATATGACTGACCCAGGCCGGGGTCTCAGGACAACGTGAGAGTAGGCCGGCCCGATAACAAGGCACTCTTTGCTCACCGAAAATACTTGGAGGTCCCCGACCCTCTTGATGGAAGTGAGCGCGGTCAGGAGCGCTGTCTTAGCAGACAGGAACTTAAATCAACTGAGTCAAGCGGCTCAAAGGGATCCCTCTGAAGGCCAGCCAGGACGGTAGAGAGATCCCAGGAGGGTATCAGGGATGGCCTAGGAGGATTTAAACTTCTGGACCCCCCTTAGGAACCTGATGATGAGATTGTGCTTTCCCAGGGACCGGCCGTCCACTGCATTGTGATGTGCTGCAATTGAACCCTCGAACGCAAACCGAAACGGACTGTGTCGAGGAAGAATCGAGGCATGAAAGTAAGCGTCCTTCAGGTCGACCGCTGCCAACCAATCCTGAGGCTGGGAGCATCTGATGATGCGCTTCTGTGTCAACATCTTGAACAGTAGCTTGTGAAGGGCCCGATTCAAGACTCACAGATCCAGCATTGGCCGAAGGCCACCGCTTCCTTGGGCACGATGAAGTAAGAGCTGTAAAACCCCGACACCATCTCGGCTGGAGGGACAGGCTAGATTGCATCCTTCGCCAATAGGACAGCAATCTCCTCGCAGAGGACAGGGGTGTCTCAGACTGTCACCAAAGTTCTTGAGGACGCCACTGAACCTGAGGGGAGGGTCGCCTGGCGAACTGAATCACTTAGCCAAGTCAGACTGTCTGAATGAGCCAGCGGGACGGTTTAGGCAGTGCAAGCCATGCTCCCAAACTCCGTGTGAGTGGCATCAAAGGGACAATCGACATACCCGCGGTGGTGAAGCGGTGGGAAGTCGCGCTGGATGGCCCAGAAAGCATTGTGTTCTGGCTCATCACGGCAGGAATCCCCGTTTCCCCAGAGGGACCGGCCGGAAATGCGTGTGAAGGCATCGCGTCCCCGAACCGCAATCTCTTGGCCACTGGCAATAGGGGGTGTCGTGGGAGAGAGTGAGGAGGCAGTGCGTCACTGACTGTCAACCCATGCGCCTGATAGCCCGGAGGAAAAGGAAACTGCTCTTTCTTTGCAAATGTGGTTACTGCTGGCCCTTGGGCCAACAGCGGAACAGAACTAAGCAAAAGATTCTCCACCCGGCCCTCCTCCGGGGGGAAGGAGTGGCACTGTTCTCGCCATCTCCGGAAGAAAAGCAGTTCCTTGCATCTCCGGGCTGACCGTGTCAGGGCCGCCTCGTCGTCTTTTTGTAGGACGTAGGGCCCGGCTGGGACATGGGGGAGCGCCGCACTCCTGCGCGAGGCTCGACGCGCCGGCCTCGACATGGTCTCGGTACGGGGTGGAGCAACTGCAGGAGGGTGCCCTCGTTGACGGGCAGGCTGAGGCGTGGCCCGCGGCGGAACAGTGGCAGGTGGAGGATCACGCCAGGGCAGGATGTGCTGGATAGCCTCAGTCTGCCTTTATACTGCCGAGAACTGCTGGTGGAGTCCTCAACAGTGTTGCCGAATAGCCCAGCCTGGGAGATGGGAGCATCAAGAAAGCGCACTTTGTTGACGTCACTCATCTCAGCAAGGCTGAACCATAGATGTCGCTCTTGGACCACGAGAGTGGACATCGCCTTCCCGAGGGACTGCGCTGTGACCTTCGTCGCCCGGAGGCGAACGCAGCTCCTGCATCAACCTCGGGTCGGTACTACCCTCCTGCATTTAAGTGCCCTGGCTTGGTGGACCTGCAGGATTGCCATGGCATGCAGGGCAGAGGCGGCTTGGCCCGCAGCACTGTAAGCTTTGGTGGTGAGATCCGCCGTCAGCTTACAGGCTTTGGACGGGAGACGAGGGCATTTTGCGGCCAGGTGCACAGCAACCGCACTCTCCACCTGGGAAATGTCAACGTACTCCCAAGCCGCTCTGCTATCGAGGGTAGTGAGGATGGAGAAGGAACACGAGTGGCTTCAGGCCGGAAAAAGGGGCCGTCCACGACTTCATCCCTCCTCATGCACTTCCGGGAAGAAAGGAACCGTGGCAGAGCACGGTCGAGAGCCTCGCTTCGTGCCGTAACCAATCATCCAGCCGCGAGGGGTCTGGACTGGGAGGCCCGTGCACCTCCAGCCCAATACTCGCGGCTGCCCAGGAAAGCACGGCCATCACTTCCGGGTCAGATTCAGCGGTG